CCCCAAAACCCCAAAACCCCAAAACCCCATGATGATATTGTTTCCCAAATTTGAAACTAGAAAATTATTCCATATTAAGAAAAAATTTCTATATTAGATTAAACATTTACTCGAAGGCGAATGCTTTGATATTAAAATAAATCTTCAATCTTGAGTATGAGCTTGATCACTATTTAAATCTTACTTTTCTTCACTTTTATTCTTGGCATGGGGACATAACTCATCAACAATTTATTCTATAGGTTTTCCCTTTGTTTCTGGACAAAGATAGTAAATAAAAATCCAGGCGAAACCACAGCACAATGCAATCGCTATAAAAGTAGCAACCTAACCAGCAGTAGTCTTAGTCACAATAAGGAAAAACTATGAGACTAAGTAATTTGAAACCCAATTCGTAGTTGTTGAAACTGAATTTCCTGCTCCTCTTAAATGCAAAGGATATATTTCAGAATTAATTGTCCAAGGAGTGCATCCAAGAGAGATGGAAAAGAATGCAAGATACAGCAGAATTCCTGTTAGTGAAACCCATTTCCCAGCATCTCTTTCTAACTCATCTCCAAATCCTTTTAGCCCTAGGCCGAGTGAAATAATCAATAAGCTGAATCCAATAAAAGGAACCATTCTGATTAATATATACCTTCTTCCGAGCTTATCAATATAAAAGATAGCAATCAAGGTACCTAAAGCATTCATTCCAGCTAAAGGAAGCGAGGCAACTAGAAGTGAAGATGGATCACTTTCATCTCCAAATCCTGATTTTTGTAGTATGTCTGGTCCAAAATACATGACAGTGTTTATTCCACAGAATTATTACCAAAATTATAGACCTGCTCCTAGAACGATGCACCTAGTATATATTGTGAATAATGCTTTGATCTAAGTTAAGAATGGATCTCTGCTTTCAATTAGGACAGATTATACTTCTTTTTATACCTCCATTTTTTTCTGTTCCAAATATTGGGGTTTATACAGTCTAGTTAAAGTTTTATCAGCAATTTCTTTTTTCCCCTTTTTGTATAAGAAAACTGGTGTTTCAGGCATAAATAGCATGCCTATTAACTATATAACTGCAGGAGTTGCAGCTAATCCTAGCATCCATCTCCATCTATTTCCAAGAGCAATACATATCAGGTATGAAATAAATTATCCTCCAGTTATGAATAAACAGTTGAAAGTAACTAAGGACCCTCTAATTGAAGTCGGGGCAGCCTCTGATAAATAAACTGGAACTACCATAGCTGCAATGCCAACCCCTAACTTTAAAGAATATTAGTAAAATGAATTGCTTACTCCTACAAGGAATCGCCCAACGATAAGAATAGCAATAGTTGGTGCTACTCCCATTATGACAGCTCCTATAGTGAAAAATATATCAGCCATAATTATTGTAATTTTTCTGCCATATTTATCCGCAAAAGGTCCAGCGACCAATGATCCAATAGCAGATCCAAGCTATGCTAGTGAAACTATAGTCTAAAAAAATAAAATGATATCAATTATTGAAAAATTACTCCTTTTTCTAACTCAGTTATGTCACTCCATGTGTCTTTAAAATATAATTATGCCCCAGCGATCACTCCAGTATCATAACTATATAAATGAGTTTAAGATAGATTACCCGAATAGAAACCCTCCAATTGCAGATATCAGTGTCAAATTAATTACATAACCTATATTATAAGTAGTCTCCTTCTTTTCTTCTGCTTCCTATTATTTGATTTCCAAACCGACCTTCAAACTAAAATGCATTCGGTAAAATGAAAAAATCAAAGAGTAA